AAACCGTAAGACCTCACATGACACCACTTTCACACTTGCCATTTGAACGGAGGGCCAACTTTTATGAGGGAAGTATTTGTCCCACCAAGTGGTCAAGAAGTCAGATGGTGGTGAATGCCACGATGTCCTTAATGGCAAGAATAGTCAGCTTCAGAAAAGGGGCGAAGCGCAAGAAACAACTCACCGAATGGCGCAAGAACGAAATCTCCACAAACTTGAGGCCACCCCAATCTACACCCCCGTCCTGTCTACAGAGCCGCAGGCTCATATAGGTCTTTTGTCTCTTTGAACCCACGAGGCCAGCAATACCGTTGCTGATCGACATCTTCATGAAAGTCATGGATGGTGTTGGTTTTTTGGACGAGGCCCATGGAGTTTAAGTGGAGGAGCTGAGGCCTTCTTTATTGAGGCTTAAAAGATGCGAAAGAGGCCTTCGCCGACGAGGCCCGGGACGTAGTGGCAGTACAGGTCGTATTCAAAGATGGTGGAGGTAGATGGAACCGGTGGTGGCTGCTTTGTGGGCAGTCTGCGATGCTCCTTTCCCTTGTTCAGAATCCGAAGTGGAACCCGACGAAGTGGGGGTCGAAGACGAATTGGACAAGGCCGGTTTGAAGGCGAATTCACCGTAGCAGGAGCGAATGGCACCGTCGAAGAGGAAGTCAACGTCGAAGAGTCCAAAGAGGGAACAACACCCCTATTATGCACGATACACTGCAACGGTTTAACGGACGAACATGGTCCGCATCAACATTCCTCCCTCTCGTTCGCATCCGCCGTCTGAGATTGGCCTCGAGAAGCACAACAAAAAGGTGATCCCCAATTCCGAGAGATTATGTGCGTATTGCGTGGAGTAGAGATTGAGTCCCAAGTCCAACCTTTTTGGATCTCAACTTCCTTTCACGTCATTCAGGCTCACGGAAACCCTGGCATGGAAACCTGAAATCAAGCACAACATCCTCAGGCATGCGGTTCGCCCACCCAGCATCGAGCACGTCGGTTCTAACAGAGGAAGGACTTCGCGTGGCGATCACGCGGAAATGACGAGGCAAAGTTTATGTTGTCCAAGGCGTACATGGAGGTTTGGATGAGGGTCTGGATGAAGGTTTGATAGAATTTGAAGTGGGGGGGGGGGGGAGACAGTTGAGGCGGAAGATGCGGGATTCAAAGTGGAATGCAAGTGGAATGGGGGATTGAGGCGGAAGGAAAACTTTGGAGGATTGGAAGGGCCGGGACGAGCGCCATCTCCCTCTGCCATGTTTGTTCGTACTGACGCACGCTTGCATTCTCCATTCCCAGCCTCTGGTCGTCAATCTGCGTGATTTGGCCCAAGATGGGCTACGTCGTCGTGCGGCTTTGGCTGGAAAAATCGAGGTCGCGTTCCTCCTCCTCTACACCAGCATCAATGCGTGCAGACAACTTCCTCGAACAGCTGCATGGTGTCGAGGCAGAGGCGGTTGAAACCTCACTGAATTCTCGACGAGGGTGCTTCGATATTATGACTGGCACTAGGTCGGCCATGTAAACTCGGATGGCAGGATTAGGATCCGGAGGGACGAGGGAGTGCGGGGAAGGGTCGAAATCATACGATTATGGTGGGTTTATGTGGGGGGTTTCGCATAGTGCTTCAACGAGTTCTGCTTTACGCTGACGTACTGGTTGTGTACGAAGATCTGGTGTGTGTTTCCGAGAGTGGTGGCCTGTGAATAGGCCTTTACATAGCAGGACTTGATCATCTCGCACTTCTGTGGGTGTAGCAATTTGACATTGTAAGAAAGAAGTCCAAAATTCGAGAGGCGTACCTTTGTCACAAAGCTGTTTTGTGGTGCAACTCAAGGCCATGATGTTAGACGAACTTGAGGAGTGGATGATAAGGAGAAATGAGTCGTAATGTTTGCCGTATGTTTGTTGATTGAGTTGTCTAGAACGTTCACCTGTTCACTACCACCATAGGTCCAAACGATGCCTTCTTCGCCGTGAACGTGGAATTTCAGCAAGAAGGTACCGCGCGTGCTCGCCGATCAAAGCGTTGATTCTTGTCCTTTCCTTCATCATTTACGAGTCGGCAATGTTTCGCCTGGCCAAATTCCCTTTGATTCATTCCATCCCAGTACGCTTTTCAACGAAATGAAATTCGCTCAATAAGTGGCGCTTAACGTTAACCTTCAACAACTTAGGTTCAATCCCAATGAATGGGCGGTAGTCGATGAGCGTGCTCGGAACTTAATACTCTCCTTCCGGTGTTGACAACCTTATTTTCCGGAAGTTTGGGGATACCAGATACCCACCAGCCGGGATGACAGCTGCTGAAATCCTGGACGTTCCCAACGAGAAGAAGTGCTGGCGCTCAATTTTTCAAGTTAGAGCGTACGTGGTTGCGAAGCAAGACGAGGAGGGGATGACTTGGCATCTTTATCTTCACCCTGGCTTGAACGGGAACAGGCAAGGTAGCCAACACAGGGTGCGTGTATTGATTTATATGTTGCTACTTACTGATCCTATGGTATGTCTAGGAATGGTTCAATGTTGCTCTGTCAAAACGCACAACTCATCTTGTACTTCTGCGGGTGTGGGTTAGAAACATGTCGACCAAAGATTCTCGGCGTTTCGCTGGACAAAGTCATTGATAGAATGACTGCAGAGGAAATCGATACTGTTGCTTCCCAGTTGCAATCTATTCAAGCCAAGATAGCGGTTATGCCAACCGTCGTCGGGTCGATAGCCGGTGACTAGTATCGCAACGAGTTCTGGCTACTTTGGAGGGCGCCGCCTCCCACAACCGTTCTCCAGCGTGTCGGACTTTGTCGAGTGCCATCAACAATTTTTGGGCCATGATATTCCGCTTTGCTTGGTTGAAGACATGCTCGCTGCCTTACCTCGCGACGTGGCCACTGGCATGTGTTTTGTCCACGGTGGCTTCTTCCCAAACAATTTTCTGTGGCTCACGATCATTGATTGGGCGGCGCCCTCGCGCTTGCTCACCTGTATAGGGGGCCTGCAGAGAGGGGGACATAAGACCGGTGTTCGAGCTCAATAACATCAGCCTGTATT